GAGAAGGCCCAAGGCCCCGCAGCGGCTTGCATTGCTTCACAGCTGAGCCTCTTCGTGGCTCCTGCTGTGTGGCCTCAGGCAGAGGCTGAATTAGCACCTCCTTAGATCCAGGAGCCACTGTACCCAGTGGTCAGAGGGGGGCCATCCAGACTGCAACTCCTCAGATCCATAAGGGACGCACTCAGGGAGCAGACTCAGTGAGCACCAAAGCCCCACTGAAGCAAGTCTTGCCCCAGAAGGGTGTCTTCAGCACAGAAGTTCTCCCACTTTAGACACAGCTGATTCTCACAGCCAATTGGCCGGGAGGTCAATTCCTCCCAGTGATTCTACAACAACCAAGGCACCAAGAGTGCACCAAGAGTGTCCACCCCAGGTAACTGGGGAGGCTGAGCTACTGGGCCCTACAGGACACCTGGCGCGCAGGGCCATTCTATCAACACAGGGAAGCAGCCAAAATGCGGAGACAAAGAAACAGGTCACAAATGGCAGAAATGGAGGAAAGCAAACGATTGGATATAGAGTTCAAGGCCACGTTTATAAGGTTTTTCAAGAATTTTATGGAAACTGCCGATAAAGTTAATGAATCCCTCAATAAGTATAGTGAGACCATGGAGGACATGAAAAAGGACCAACTAGAAATTAAGCATACACTGACTGAAATAAAGAATAATTTACAGAGATCCAGCAGCAGACAAGAGGATCCCAAGAATCAAGTCAAAGATTTGAAATACAAAGAAACAAAAAATACCCAACCGAAAAAGAAAAAAGAAAAGAGATTCCAAAAATATGAAGATAGTGTAAGGAGCCTCTGGGACAGCTTCAAGCGTACCAACATCAGAATTATAAGGGTACCAGAAGGAGAGAGAGGGCAAGATATTGAAAACCTTTTTGAAGAAATAATGACAGAAAACTTCCGCTACCTGGTGAAAGAAATGGACTTACAAGTCCAGGAAGCGCAGAGAACCCCAAACAAAAGGAATCCAAAGAGGACCACACCAAGACACATCATAATTAAAATGCCAAGAGCAAAAGATAAAGAGAGAATCTTAAAAGCAGCAAGAGAAAGACAGTCAGTTACCTACAAGGGAGTACCCATACGACTGTCAGCTGATTTCTCAACAGAAACCATGCAGGCCAGAAGAGACTGGCAAGAAATATTCAAAGTGATGAATAGCAAGAACCTGCAACCAAGATTACTTTATCCAGCAAAGCTATCATTCAGAATAGAAGGTCAGATAAAGAGCTTCACGGATAAGAAAAAGCTAAAGGAGTTCATCACCACCAAACCAGCATTATATGAAATGCTGAAAGGTATTCTTTAAGAAGAGGAAGAAGAAAAAGGAACTCTTACCATTTGCCACAGCATGGATGGAACTGGAGAGCGGATAAATACCACATGATCTCACTCATTTGTGGAATATAAAGAACAACATAAGCTGATGAACAAGGACTGATCCAGAGACAGAGAGGCATTGATTGGACTGTCGGGACTTGGAGGGAAGGTAGGGGAGGGTGGGGGTAAGGGGGAAAGATCAACCAAAGGACTTATATGCAAGCATATAGGCCTAAACAATGGACATGGACAACGGGGGGGTGAGGGCATGAGCAGGGGGGGGTGGGGGGGGTAGAGGGTAACGTGGGGACAAGGACACATATGTAATATCTTAATCAATAAAAAATATATTAAAAAAATAAAAAAAAAAAAAAAAAAAGATCCCCAGGTGATTCTCATGTGCAGCCAAGGTTGAGAACCGCTGGGCTAGACAATCAGACACTTTACAAAGTGTCCCCCCCTCTCCCCCCTTCCCTGCCCCGATACTTCCCCGCCTGGCATAGTTATTACATTTTTCAAAACTGATTTCAGAGAGGAAGGGGAGATAGAAAGATCAATGACGAGAGCGAATCCCTGATTGGCTGCCTCCTGCACGCCCCCTACTGGGGATGGAGCCCGCAACCAGGGCATGTGCCCTGACGGGGAATCGAACCCTGACCTTCTGGCTCACAGGTCGATGCTCAGCCACTGAGCCCCGCTGCCAGGGGGTTATTGTAACATTATTGACTCTATTCCCTGAGCCGCACTTTACATCCTGCTGACTATTTGGCAACGACGAGGTCCTGACTTGCTTTCCTCACATAAAACTTTGATGTCTTTTGAGAAAAAACACTTGCTCCGCACACCGTGAGGCACATGTAACGATTGCTACATGAGAACAACCGCGGAGAGGCCCACACGGGGGCTCCGTGGGGAAGAAGACTCGGACTTGAGGTCAAGGCCCCTCACCAGCCACCCGCAGGCTCACGCAGAGGCGGACGCTCAGCCGGGAACTCGGGGGAAGCTGTCAGCCAGCGTGAGCCCCAACCCGAACCCAACCGAGCACTGACTTGCTGTAAAATCATCTTGATGCCCCAAAAGGTCAAAAATGTAAAAAAAACAACCAACCAACAAAAACTGTTGTGACACCAGAGAGACGCAAGAAGCAAGGGAGACAGGGGTGCACGGGGCACGCCCGTAGGAAACGCGTCCCTGCGCGGCCAGAACAGAGCGCGCTCTCCTCGACGGCTGAGCAGCCGCAGCAAACGCAGAGCGGACGTCCCACTAGGCTTCGCCGGCAGAACTTCACTTGAAGCCAGAAGGAGTTGGTTTTTTGTTTTTTTGTTTTTATTGATTTTGAAAGAGAGAGGAAGGGGGAGGGAGAGAGAGAGAGAGAAACATGAGTGAGAGAGAGGCACACACCCAACAGGGGATCGAGCCCAAAACCCAGGCAGGTGCCCTGACCGGGAATCGAACGGGTGACCCCTTGGTTCCTGGTTTGACGCTCAACCACCGAGCCGCACTGGCCAAGCAGGACTTGGTATTTTGAAAATACCGCTGCGCCACTGCTGGCCAAAGGACTGTAAGAAGGGTCAACCCCAGATAAAAAGGAAGGAAATAGAGCCGCCACCAACAAAAATGTTTTTTAGTTACAGCTCAAGGTGGAGGACCATCACCAGATTAATCTTCGTGAAAAATAAAGCTTCGCCCTGGCTGGTGTGGCTCAGTGGACAGAGCGTCGGCCTGCAGACTGAAGGGTCCCAGGCTTGATCCCGGCCAAGGGCACAGGCCCGGGCTGTGGGCTTGATCCCCAGTAGGGGACGTGCAGGAGGCAGCGGCCATGATTCTCTCTCATCATTGATGCTTCTCTCTCTCCCTCCCTCTCCCTTCCTCTCTGAAATCAATAAAGAAATATATTTTTTTAAAAAGAAGAAAAATAAAACCTCTCCAGGGATGCACCTGCCTGTGAATCATCGGTCCCCCCCAGGGCCGACAGGAGGGAGACAGAAACCGCGGGCGAGCGGAGCCCCACCGACTTGGCCCACTGTATGTCGCCACCAGGAGATGCCCACTCGGCCGCCTGGTGTCCGTTTGTCCCAGGGAGGAGCAAGCCATGCGCATGTCAGCCTTGCCCCCTGCGCCCACCACAGCACCTGGCACACAGCAGTCGCTGGGTAAACGTGTGCTCAGTTCTGCTCGCGCGCCTCGCTCCTGGCAAGCCCTTCCTCACCCTCGCGGACAACCCAGCCATTCTCGAAGGCTCGCCGCCCGCCCGCCCGCCCGCCCCCTCCTCTCAGCACCAGCCCCGAGGCAACGCCCGCCCGCGCCTGCTCCGCTCCCAGAGGCCCTCCCTCGGGCCTTCGCTGCTGTTTAAACATCCCCTGCTCCTGGGTTTTGCCTGCCCCGCTGCACGGGGTCCTGGAGGGAGGCGGGGATGGGAGCGATGGAAGGCGCGGCGAGAAGGGCTGCTGGTGGCCTGGCGCCTGGTCACGTGACTTCGGGAGAATTTTACGGGAAACACTTAGAACAGCCCTTCATCGACGCCGCTTCTGTCCTTCACCTCCCGGAACCTCAGTTCACTCGCTCACAGAATGGGACTGACGCTAGCTCCGCTGACGGGTGGGCCTTTATGAAGATAGAGATAATGTCCGGAGTGCAGGACCTTCCGCAGCCCGTCCACAGCCACGGCAGCTGCTATTCCAAAGCCTCCTGCTGGGTGCAGGGAACCTCCAGACAATGGCGGATGAGCCGAAGGGACTGAGAGAGACGGAGCCTCACGTCAACGCGGACCCCGAGGGCACCGTCTCCGTCATTCGTTCAGGAAACGTGTGTTAGGGGCTATCGCTACGCGCAGGCTTCGTTCTGGTGCCGCGAAACGACCGTGAGGGTAAGTCCTGGCCCCACAGACTCACCTCCTACAGCAGCGGTTCTCAACCTGTGGGTCGCGATCCCTTTGGGGGCTGAACGACCCTTTCACAGGGGTCGCCTAAGACCGTCGGAAGACACATATATAATTACATACTGTTTTTGTGATGAATCACTATGCTTTAATGATGTTCAATTTGTAACAATGAAATTGGGCGTCACCACAACATGAGGAGCTGTGTTAAAGGGTCGCGGCGTTAGGAAGGTTGAGAGCCGCTGTAAGGGAAGGCAGGTGACACACAGGGCGAGACGGGGCAGTAAACGTTTCTACGGTGATAAGCGCGCTCAAGAGGGAAGGAAAGGCAGGATCGCGAGCTGGCGCTGGGCCAGGGCTGTCGGCGGAGCGGCACCGAGGACGAGTCTGAACCCCGCGGAGACCTGGCTTCTGGGAGCCAGCCTCACCCTCAGGCAGACGCCCGTGGCCTTGGGACGGCTCAGCTCCTAGTGCCAGCGACCCAGCTCCGCCAGTGGAGGCGCCCTCTGCCTCCCGGGACCCCCGCCTGCCTCCCAGGGCCCCACCTGCCTCCCAGGACCCCCACCTGCCTCCCAGGACCCCCCACCTGCCTCCCAGGACCCCCCATCTGCCTCCCGGGACCCCCGCCTGCCTCCCGGGACCCCCACCTGCCTCCTGGGACCCCCACCTGCCTCCCAGGACCCCCCATCTGTCTCCCGGGACCCCCTTAACTCAGACCAAGCCACAGACACGGGACCGGCCCCGCAGGGAGCGGCCTCACCCCCACGTGCAGCACATGGTGAGCCATACCGCCACGGGCCTATTCCCCAGGAAGTTCAGGTCGCTGTTCTCTCCAAACAGGTAGCCTTCGGGGTGGGCCGAGTCGAACTTCTCTCCTCCCATGATGAAGTGGCTGGCAAAGTAGCTTCCTGGAGAGGGAGACACGAGAGCCAATGACACCCAGCCGACTAGGCCAGGACAGGCGCCGATTCAGGGAGACGTGGGCCCCCTACCCATCACCCGAGCCACTGCCACGCCCAGGACAGCGTCCTCCTCTCGACTCAAGACCACGGCACCAAGTAGAGAAGCAAAACCGTAGCAGCGAGAAGCCACGCCACCAAACACAGCACAGATCACCACTCTCCTTTCGGCATCCTGACCGGATCGTCCCGGGACCCGTCTCCGCTGCCCTCAGCCCAACACCAGGAGGCCCCGCGACGCCCATCAGTGAACACGTATGTGCATTTTGTTCCTGATTTTCCCCCCTTCAACTCGAGGTGGTTATTCTCTGTCATCCATGCATTTTGGAATCTTTTTAAAAAAATGTTTTTATTGATTTCAGAGAAGAAGGGAGAGGGAGAGAGAGATAGAAACATCAATGATGAGAGAGAATCATCCACCGGCTGCCTCCTGCACGCCCCCTACTGGGGATCAAGCCAGCAACCCTGGCCTGTGCCCTGACCGGGAATCAAGCAGTGACCTCCTGGTTCACAGGCTGACGCTCAACCACTGAGCCACACCGGCCAGGCCAGGTGATTCTTTAATTAAACAACAAACAAGGAAAGATTCTTCGAGAGCCATCGCAGCCCGAATCAAAGCAAACGCTAGACAATTCCCCATCCAAACGTAAAGCCACAGGGAGCAGCCATCTGCCGGGATGCCACTGGGCAAGCCATCATTTAGGAAAGCTTGATGATCAATTATTGATGGCCAGCACTTACAGGCCCTATTTTCCAAGTGCATAATTTATAGAGCGGGGAGGTGCCTCGAGTAGAAGCAGCCATCTCAAGTCATCAAGCCATTTAAAGCTGACCCTTAGTGAAATATATTTTCTATACGTTATGTATTTATGGAGAAATTATATATTTATTATACATGAGGTGAACTTAGAAAAGTGAAGAGTTTACGTTGATGGGTGGCTTGCCCAAATCATGAATAGGGAATGGTGGGAAGCAGGGTTGGTGCCTGGCGTGCAGCAGGCTGAGTTCAGCGCGGGACACGCCGAGTCGCCAGGACCTGGGAGCGGTCAGGTGAGGGATGGGGACGGTGACAAGCACGGATCATCAGCTTACAGGCTCCTAGCTAGAGAAAAGCACCAATGGCCTGGGGGCGGGGCAAGGGCTTAGAGAAGGTGCCAGGCTTCTATTGGAAATGCACCCCCTTTGGGGATAATATTAAAAGAAAAGAAATGATCAAGAACATAGCGTAGAGCTAACTGTAGTTTTGCTTTGCATCTAAAATCAAGAGCCCAAATAGACAGACCACAATGAGGGTCGATAATTCACGGATGAAAAGAGAATTTTTCATTTCAGTAGAAGAGTCCACACCGCGTCCCTTTACAAAGCTGATCTCCCCTGGTATTCAAAGAATACCTCACCAGCCAAAAGGAAAAAAGGAATTCATCAACGTTCGGCTTTCTCCTTTCTTGGGAATGGAGCCCTCTGAAACTTGCCCCAGTGCCGGGCGGGAGTGCTCAGGTGGTTGGGCGTCCTCCTATATGGCGAAAGGCGGCAGGTTCGATTCCCAGTCCGGGCACACACTCAGGTTACGGGGTGCCATCCCTGGTCAGGGCACATTGTGGGAGGCAATGGATCAGTTTCTCTCTCTCTCTCTCTCTCTCTCTCTCAAAAAAACGATACAAAAATGAAAAGGAAATAAATGTGTTTTTTTAAAAGTATTAAAGCAAAAAAGACATCCAGGTAAAAAGTCAAATTCCTTATCAGGGAAGAAAATGACACCCGTACTTTTCCTCAGACCTGTGCTATCCAATAAAACATAAATGCAAGACACACATGTGGTTTTAAATGATCTAATAGCGACTGGTGCAGCCACTATGGAAGACAGTATGGAGTTTCCTCAAAAAACTAAAAGTGGAACTCCCATTTGACCCCGTGATCCCACTTCTAGGAATATATCCCAAGAAACCAGAAACGCCAATCAGAAAGGATATATGCACCCCTATGTTCATAGCAGCACAATTCACCATAGCTAAGATCTGGAAACAGCCTAAGTGCCCATCTGTAGATGAATGGATTAGAAAACTGTGGTACATCTACACGATGGAATACTACGCTGCTGTAAAAAAGAAGGAACTCTTACATTTGCAACGGCATGGATGGAACTGGAGAGCATTATGCTAAGTGAAATAAGCCAGTCAATGAAGGAAAAATACCACATGATCTCACTCATTTATGGGTAATAAAGACCATTATAAACTTATGAACAGAAATAGATACAGAGGCAGAGCTGCCTCGAACAGACTGTCAAACTACAGCAGGAAGGCCGGCGAGGGTGGGAGGGCAGGAGGGGGGTGGGGGGGGTAAGAGATCAACCGAAGGACTTGTATGCATGCATATAAGCATAACCAATGGACATAAGACACTGGGGGGTAGGGGAGGCCAGGGGATTGTCAAGGGCAGGGGAAAAAAAAAAGGAGACATATGTAATACTCTTTGTAATACTTTAAACAATAAAAAAAAATAAAAAAATAAACAATAAATTAAAAAAAGAAATCATAAAAAAATAAAAATAAAAAAAAATCTAATAGCCACAGTTTTCAAAAGTAAAAATAGCCGAAACCGGTTTGTCTCAGTGGATAGAGCGTCGGCCTGCGGACTGAAGGGTCCCAGGTTCGATTCCGGTCAAGGGCATGTACCTGGGTTGTGGGCACATCCCCAGTGGGAGATGTGCAGGAGGCAGCTGATCGATGTTTCTCTCTCACCGATGTTTCTAACTATCTCTCTCCCTTCCTCTCTGTAAAAAATCAATAAAATATATATTTTTTAAAAAATATTTTTAAAAAAAGTAAAAATGAACAAGCAAAATTAATATGTCTTATTTATCACACTATTTTGGATATCTAATATATCCAAAATGTTGTTGAACATGCAATCAGTATAAAAAATCATTAAGAAGCTATTTACATTCTTAAAAAATTTTTTTGTATGGAATCTTCAAAATCTGTCGTGAAATGAGCCAGCCAGAGAACGTTAAACATCATGTGATCTCACTTGCAGGTGGAATCTAATGAACAAAATATACTAACAGACAAAATGGAAACAGACTCAGACACAGAGCACAGGCTGACAGCTGTCAGAGGGAGGAGGGTTTGGGGCTGGGTGAAGGGATTAAGCAAACCCCCCTCAGAATAAAAAAATTCACAGACACACACAACAGGACGGTGATGACCAGAGGGGAAGGGGTGGGGGAGGTAGACATGGGTAAGGGGGGATACATGGTGATGGAAGGAGACTTGACTTGGGGTGGTGACCACACAACGCAATATACAGGTGATGTGTTACAGAACTGCACCCCTCAAACCTATGTGATTTTATTAACCAATGAAACCCCAAGAAATTCATTTCTTTTAAGTGATAATTCAGCTCCATGAGAGGTAACTCCGAGGCCCACAATTGGTCTGGGCTGCCCGCTGTCCTGTGCTCATAACCCCTGCGCACGGAGCTCTCTGCTCGCCTTTTATGTTCTAACCCAACTGGGGTGTTACACACACTGGCCTGCCCGCTGCTCTCCTCCGCCTAATGTCCCCAGCCCGTTCCCACGCGCGCTCACGGCCTGGCCGCGCTGTTCTGACGGAGCACGTGCCGATACTCGGATTGCAGGCGCACCGGCCGGCACTGAGCGGGCAAGTACCGCACCGTTTGCGCCTCGCAGCAGCCCTCTAAGGCAGGGGTGACTGATGTTTTCATTTTACAGAAAAGGAAACAAATGCACAGAGAGTCTAAGCCATTTGTCCAGAGTCACACAGCCGGTAAGAGGCAGCGGCAGGCCCCGAAGCCAGCGGGTTTTATTCCAGAGCCTGTGTGTGCTCTGAGCCATCACACTATCTCCACTGAATGACAAAATTAAAATATATGTATATATATACGGATAGTTATTTGATTGTTTTTACATGTGGGATATGTCCTTGTGGGATAAGGATTTAGTCTTTTTTTTTTCCAGATAGGAAACTTTATTAACACCATTTATTGACTATTATTTGAAATGCCCTTTTTACCAGGCAATATATACCTAGATCTAGGCTCTATTCTATTCTGAACCCGTACAATATAATTTAACAACTGCTACCTTAATAGTTTCCAGAGCAAAGCACACATCCGGGGCCCAAACCCTTCCCACAGGCCCACCCCCGACCCTGGTCCCTCTGCCGTCTTCCTCCTCATGGCGCTCCCTCGGAACCCGCCTCCAGCAGCCCCTCACAGTACTGTGTTTCCATCCATCCTCTCGGCCTCAAGGTGTCCCTCCCCATCCGAGGTTAACATTCTAACTACCTGAGCTCTCACTCTAACTACCTTGACCTCCTTGAGACCTTAACAACCATCCTTTCTCCACGTTTCCATTCCTCTCGCTCCACTGGCTTTTCACTTGCCTCATTATATAAACACTAGAGGCCCAGTGCATGAATTTGTGCACAGATGGGGCCCCTCTAGGTGGCCTGCAGGGATCGGGCTAAAACCCGCAGTCCTGCACCACCTGCAGCTCCTACCTGTCGCTCCCGCTCATCCCAGTCCTGCTGTGCCTGCCGCGGGCTCGTGCCCAATCAGTCCCCATCGGGAGAGGTTCCCGCTGCTGCAGCAGCATTCACCAGCCATGAGCCCTGCATCTGGTGCCCTGCAGGATGGGGCTGAAACTGGCTCTCCAACATCCCCCGAGGGATCCCAGATTGCGAGAGGGCACAGGCCAGGCCGAGGGACCCCACCCGTGCACGATCGGGCCAGGGAGAGACCGCGGGAGGGCTCCAGGGCGTGTCGGGCCCATCTTGCTCAGTCCCCGATCGGCCGGACCCCGGCAGCAAGCTAACCTACTGGTCGGAGCATCTGCCCCCTGGTGGTCAGTGCACATCATAGCGACTGGTCGACCAGTTGACTCTGCCCCCTAGTGATCAGTGCACGTCATAGTGAGCGGTTGAGTG